TGGATTCCAAGCAAAATTCTCTCTCTCCTCCATAGCTTGTAGGGTAAAGAAGCTGTACAAGTCAGGAAAGTGGAACTGAGGAAAAGCATTGCTTGAAATGAGTGAAATCCTGAGCGGTTTTCGAGGCCCTCGTGGTGTTCCATTATTCATCGAATCTGAGCGATCATCAGCATATCGCCGGCGATGTCTTGTACCTGATATTGGTCTGCCTTTTTTTATGGTTTATGGTTTGGTTTATAGTTTTGCGACATAACGTATCGACTGTTAAGAAGAAGAGTACGTGAAAAGAGATCGCAATGAATACCTCTGATAACTTGATGATAGCAACAACGACGCACTCCGTTCGTCTATTCTATCACAACCGAGTATTACCTTACCTACTTCCACATTATTCTATATTTGACCAATAATAACGTCTTGTGTGGTAGTAACAGTAAGCTGTAAGAGCGAATCGACATGCCGGGCTTTGGCGATTAGCGGAAACGTTAAAAGAGGAAGTGATCGCAAAAATGGTGGGTTATACGACACCGATATCTATCGAAAACGCTGCAAATCAACAAGAAGCATCTTTGAGGACAGCTTTGGAACAAGCCGTAGGCAAGTTCAAAGATTCACATCGAGCTATGGTATCGCATCACTACGTTCAACTCAGGCAGAAAATTCTTCGACAAATATAGATCATCGTATGTGCCATGAATTGCTCTCCTATTGCTCCGGCAGTATTATTTCAAGACTGAACGGATCGCCCAATGCTGGCTCCTGCTCCTTCTCGTGTTGAAATTGGCCCAACGCATTGCACCCTTTCATATTTGGGCGATCCGCCAAATGAAATCAAGAGNGAACACACATACTCCGGCATACTTCGTGTGCGCCCTGTCCGCTATAAGCAGAGCCCTGCTCAAGTCCTGTGTGCTCGAATAACTCAGCTAAATAGCCATTTGCCTTCCGTTCTGCCACCTGCATTCCTACCAAATTTGAACGCTCTAGGGCACGGGAACCGGTTTATGAATTTGGGGTCAAACATTGATTTGGAGCACGCCGCCTTCCGTAGTGCCCGTCCAAACACACTTCGGAGTCCAGTACTGCCACCTACTATAAGTGTTTTCGTCCTGCCGCCTCCACGTATTTCTTTCAAAAAGCGCACTGGTCCAATGGATCATTGGGCCACCCAGTACACAGAGATGAATTTCGTAACACCATCTTAAGGGTTCGGATAGAGGTGCCATTGTTTCTGTTCGGTGGAGGCGAAGAAAAACTGCTATTGCGGTATCGTACCCAATATTTCACAATTGTGGACGATGGTGGTTTAGAGTCAATACGAAACGCAAAGATATTCTGCAAGGTCTAGGGCACGTGTAATAAAAAAACAAAACGAGCAACTGCATCAAGTTTTCCAACCTTCGTACAATTCTTTGAACCCACCCACTTACCAAATGCACCATCCATTCACGACTTACTGCCATCGCGATTCTTTTGCGTGTGCAACGCATTCCACCATAATCCTACTGATTTAATACATTCTTTTTCATGAGATAGCTTGGTCAAAAATCTTGTTACGCGAACTGTGTTATGTGTACATCGCCAGCACTCACACAATGATCCAAAACTGACCGACTCTCACATATTTTCGAAAAAGTAATGCTCACTTTTGCCGCACCAATATCATCAATGAAACTGGAATTTCTTTTGTCTATCGCCCACTCGATGTGCGAAATTTCGACGCAGTCGGCCCTTTCCGTTGTGATACGGTAATCGACGTCCTTGAGCAGATCGACAAGCTCAGCTATGACGAATCCCTAAAACTTAAGTGCGAAGTGCAAAGGATGTTAGCGTCAATAACGTGATACTGTTTTGATGCATAATTATTGTGGATTTCTTCACGCCTTTTTTCTCCACGTGTTATTTGAATTTGAATTCGGTATTTCGTAGAAATAATCTTCTCGCCGTCTTCAAACGAATGCGCTAGAACATTATCTTCATAACTGCCACATCGTGTTCTGCTACTTCGAAAAAGGTTGGAAGATAGCACAGTCACTTCGCTATCTCAATGAACTTTCAGCGATGGAACAATCAGAAAGAATCAAGTGCTCCCCCATCCACCATCTTCACCGACAGAAACATATATGCACGATAACATCAATCGTTCATTGAAAAATTGGCTACAAGCGTGGATCGTCTTCAAATATCAAAACTTCGTTGCTCAAGGATTGAGCGAGTGCGTAACGAATGAGAAACATTTTTTGACGGGAAGGAAGACTACGCTCCGAAGTAATTATTTGAACATGTCTTTGTTGTAGAGTTCGATCCTTCTTCATTTGAATTAACCCATTGGCGACCACACGTTTTGCGGGAAAAGCGACGCGAGGGACCGGCGCGCTTTTCGTCCATCCGCGACTGCAGCCCACATGTGGACTTCATGTTCCAGCATGACCATTTTTTGAAGTTTGTAAGAAAATTATAAGTTTCTAGGAATGTTCCTTCAAGTGAGTTTGTTAAGAATGCCCACATTCAGTGACTAATGATCTTTATTATAGAACCGGCACTCGTTCTAGTGGTCATTCAATTATGAGTTCAATCATTACNAGAAATTGCTTCGGGGAACTTTCAGTTGCGCTGCGTTGGGAGCTTTAGGTTTGGTCGATAACAGCGAAAATGCTAATAACGACCATCTTTTAGAAATATCTCATTTTTTTAAGTTGTTCAACGAACGAAGAATTCACCGAGGTAATTACTCTTTCTAAAAAACACCTCTACAATGCTAAAATTAGTAGATTTTCTAGTACCACGCTTTATGTGGTCTCATTTAGGCTTGATGTAATGCTTTGAGAAGAAAAATTGTAAAATAATGGAAATATAGATGAATAAAACAAAAGAATACAACTGCAGTCCACATGTGGACTGCATGGTCGTCATAGGTTAAATCTGTTGAGGAAAGCCGCAATAATAAGGCATCATCCCAATGATAGGGGCGACATTATTTCATAGATGCTATCGATCCACTGCATACTAGCTTCAATCTACACGTCCTAAAAGGCAACTAGTAAACCACTTCGCACACCAATGAGTACAAGAACCTAAAGAGTTTGCTTATAACAAATAAGATTAACGTACTGCAGTCCTTCTTGCGGCATACTCTGCAAAATCTTTTTTTAGATGGGAAGAAAAAAAGAAGTGACGGTCATCTTCGCTGAGTGGTTCTATCGCGAAAGAGTAAAGGACCAGGGAGAGAAAATCTGTGGAGAGCTCCGGAACCTTAACGATGTCAAATATGATATACACACAAGAAAGTAAAAAAACAATAAAAAAAACAAAAAAACTTCTACACGAGAAACTGATAAGCTATAAAAGATACAGTCAGAGAAAAGCAGAGGAGAATCAAACCTTCTTAGAATCGCACGAAAATAGAACCACTACTTGAGCAGGCTCCGAAAGAAGAGTTTGTACCGTTGACAGTATGCGACGATCTGTAAGTTCAGTTCATTTGAGTGATGAATTGAAGCGGGTGGCGCTATTCATGCCAATATAGAGGACCAAATCGCACAATCAGAATTAAGTCGCCCTGGTTGCAAATTCAAAATACAACAAATTGATTATAGAGCCAATTGAGAAGATGAAAATGTTGGCATAAGTTGACGTATGAAATAAGAGCGGATTTTACACCAATGCCTACGGGCTCCAAATGGGCATCCAAGAAGCGATACTATTCTTCTTCTTCTTCTTCTTCTTCTTCTTCTTCTTCTTCTTCTTCTTCTTCTCCCTAGCATTCATCCCGCACCGTCGCAGGGTCAGCTGTTATTGTCGGCCGTCTCCATTTCTTTTTATCTGCGACATCTTTTGCCGTCACCTTGGCTTCTGCGAGGTCCTTCTTAATCACGTCCCGCCATCTCTTCTTTGGGGCTCCTCGTGGTCGTTTACCTTGAGCCTCGGACTCCATTGCTTCCCTCATCGGATGGCTCTGTGGTCTTCTAGTACATTCCCGAACCATCGCAAGCGCTGCTCTCTCATCTTCAGTTGAACTGGGGCGTCCTGACGTCTTCATTTCTGACCCGATCCAGCCGCGTCCAGCCGCAGACCAATCTAAGCATTCTCATTTCAGCGGAGTGGAGCTGTCCTTCATGAGATTTACTCACGGTCAACACTCGCTGCCGTAAAGCATCGTGGGCCTTACCACCACACCTTGCCTCTGAGGGTCCTGGAGACGGTCACAGAGGATACCGTGGACTCTCTCCACTTCATCCACGCCGCATTTATTCGGGATTCTACGGCTTGGCCCACGCTACCAATGGCGACTAGATCACTCCCCAGGTAGAGGAAGTCCCGGACCTTTTCGGTGGCTTTCCCGCGACCTTCGAAGATTATTTCCGTGCCCTCCTCGGAGATGTAGAACTTGGTCTTCTTCATGTTCGGCCTGAGTCCACTCTCCGGTCTCTGCTCTCTGCTATCAGAGCGATGTTATCAGCGTAGAGGATGGTCTTCAGTGGTCCATCATGAGTTCTTCTGTGATGACGTCCAGCGTGAGCAGGAAGAAGAAAGGGCTCAGAGCTGATCTCTGGTGTCCCCCAACCGTGACATCTATTGCTCCGGTATGGCCCTGTGGGGTGTGTATTGTTGTGGTGGCGCCATCGTACATGTCCTTCACCAGCGAGATCAGTTGTTCTAGAACCTTTCGTTTCCGGAGTGCTCTCCAGAGGACTTGTCGCGGGAGACGGTCAAGAGCCTTCTCCAGATCGAGGAAGGCTAATTGACAGGGTCTACGCTTTTCTCGATACTTCTCCAAAACTTGTCTAGGTTTGAAGAAGGCGTCCGTTGTAGACCTTTCAGGCATGAAGCCGAGCTGCTCCTGTGGGATTGGAACCAATTTTCTCAATCCTGAGTCGACCAGCCGCTCGTACAGTTTCATTGTGTGGGCAGTCAACCTGATCCCCCGGTAGTTGGAACACTCCATCGCGTCTCCCTTCTGCTTGAAGATTGGAAAAATTGTACTCCTCTCCCACGCATCTGGGATTCTTCCTTTAGCGGTCACAGTGTTCAAGAATCGGATAAGCCGCTTTATCCCGTGCTATCCGAACCCCTTCCCTGCCTCGATCGGTACTCCAACCAGCTGCCTTCCCAACCTTCATCTTTCCCATTGCTTTACGCACTTTATTCTCTGTCCAGAGATTAATGTGGCCAGCCGTTGCCTCTAATTGGAAGCTTTCTTACGGGCGAATTCTTCGTTTAGGAACCCGTCGAAGTATTCCCTCCATCTACGCGTGACCTCGCTAGGTTTCCTCAGGATTGCACCCGCGCTGTTCCTGACGGACTTCACTACCTCGACGTCCTGAGTGGCGCGGGGACGCGCTTTCGCCAGGCAAAATGCGAACTTCTCTCCTTCTCGACTGCCAACTTTTTTATACAAGTCGTCCATTTCCGTGTTCTTTGCCTTCGCTGCAGCAGCCTTGACGAGCCTCTTTGAAGTTCTATAGGCAGCTAGGTCCTCTGGAGCTTGTGACCTTTGCCAGCGCTTGTAAGCCGATTTCTTCTGCCTCACAACTCCTTGGACTTCATCGTCCCAGAACCATGCTTCCTTGTTCCCTTGGAAACCATCTCTAGTTTCCCCCAGCGTTTCCTTTGCACATCGCAGGATGACCTTCACAGCGTTGCTCCAAGTATGCACGATCGGCCTTTTGGGATGGATTCCGTTCTTGTCCTCGATTTCTCAGGAAGATTGATGGCTATGTCTGCTAGAAGAGGTCTGTGCTGTGGAGCCATCTCCTCCAGGCAGTACCTTGACGTCCTCTACAGTTTTACAGAGGGACGTTCTTCTTACTAGCACATAACCTATTTCCGTTTCTTTCCATCCACTGTTGTAGGTTACCTAGTGGGACTTCCTTTTCGCGAAGAAGGTGCTGCAGACTGCCAAGTCGTGGGCTATGGCCAGGGCAAGGACCCTTCCTCCTTCCTCGTTTTTGGCTCCTAGACTTCTACCTCCATATACCCTTTCCAGTCCCCTCCTTTCACCGCCGACGTGCCCATTCAGACTCTGATATTATTGTCCAGTACCTCCTTCGTGTCTATCCTCACCGCCATAATTCGACTGCTGACCCTGTTAACGGCTGAGACGAATCTTTCAGGGACTGCCACTGCTATAGCCGCACCATTTCGCTTGGTGTCTTCTCCGTTGTAGAAGAGTTTGGCACCCTCTCCAATTTCTCTGACCTTTGCTCCCTTTCAGCGGGTCTCCTGAAGGCATAGGACTTGGATGTTCCTGCGCTTCATAACATCAGCGACTTCCCGGGACTTCCCAGATCTCACATTTAGAGTCCCTATTCGAAGTAACTTCTTTGGCCAAGGTCGTTCACTCCTCGGTAGCCCTCAAATACTGTCGCAGAACACAGGCGGGTTCCTGTGCGCCACTTCCGGGTGACGTCCTAGCCTTATCACTGATACTCTTTGAGACTTTAGACACATCTGTTGTGACTAGTTTCTCCATCAGCCGGCCTGTCAACTTAGGCCTGACGCTGGTATTGATACATTTTTGCAAGTTTTACGATGCATGGAGGCACGAGGCATGCCTTGGCAAGGATCGAACTCGCACTCCCCATAAGTGCAGACGTGAGCCTACACTCTTATCCACTCGGCTATCCCTGCCTGAGAAGCGACACTAATCCTTTTGAAATAATGTATTACAGATTTTACAAAATGAATTAATCAGCATCTCAACTATTATCTTATCCTCTTCGCAATTCTAGGGAAGGCAGAACTAAAGAAACACAGTGCAGCGGATTCGCACGGAAATGAAGCTCGCTGAAGTGTCAAGGTCACATGACAGCAGGAAAGCAAAAATCGTGCCGCTAGGTACAATATGATTTCGCCACTAAACTTCTTCCAGCTGTGAGAAATTACCAACTTGAAAAAACTGCCCCGAAATGGTTAAGTTGTTCAAATGTGTTGAAAAACTGAACCGGGTTCTTCATCTAGGGTATACCTACATATCAAAAATCTTATTTTGGAGAGCGTATTCTTTCGAGTGAATAATCCACAACAACATTTAACAGTATCACTTAGAACGTTGAAAAGAGAACACTTGACTGTATCCGTATGTCGTATAATAACTTGCAGCACGCACATTCAATATCGTTTTTGAAAAGAATTCAGTACAATATAAGTTGTAAACAAAAAGACCACAAGTGCTGGAACCCCTCCTCTTCAGAAAGTTCTCTTCTATCCAAGTTCGACTCTAATAAAAATGCCAGAAAAAAAGGAGAAGTAAATAAAATAAGAAATATAAATAATATATATATAATAAGTATATTTGATAAAATAAAATAAAGGCAAAGAGATATAGAATATATGCATTTAAACATACTAAATATATAAATATCAAATATATCCAAATACATGTTTGAATACATTATTTATTATATAATATAATATATATAATATAATATATAATATAATATAATATAATATAATACAATATAATATAATATAATAAATTATCACATATTATATTTAAATATATTTATTTATATTTTTTATATCGACTCATATTTATATTTATATTTATATATTAATAAAACATTATATGCTAAAGAAGGATAGATCTATCATTTTCTTGCATTTCCAGTACATGAGACCAAGCAATTCATCAGGCAGCCGTTGTGCTATAAAAGTCAGACGCGTGAGAAGTTCGGTACAACTTCCCATGAGTGGAATTTTTGCTATCACCAAAATAGGTTAGGTTTCTTGCTCGAAAAGACTGATGGGTTCGCAGTGCGCCAAATGCCTAGGAAATCTATGACCACAAACTCTTGCACTTTCCGTGTGGTCAACGAAGACCGAATATTTTTCGACCAAACACCGCGGACAACGTACTCAAGACCGCCATCAACCGTTTTTAGAGAGTAAAAATCATGAGAAAACCTTTTCAGATTACAGAGAATTCCATTTGAAGGAAAAAAAGCTTGCCTATAGTATCGCTCTCGGTGTCAAAGCCAAAAACATCGGCTGAGGTTATGTAAAGGATTGATGGTTGGTAACACTTGGCTGAAAAAACTGGATTCTTTTTGCATCGGCAATAAAGTTCAGTGAGCTAACGGAGAATCCAAAATATAGAAAAAATGGTTATTTTGCTTCACCAAGACTGCTGTAACCATCCTAAGTGCTTGAGGAAACTAAAGGAACGCTTCTTCCCCATAACTAGGTTTGTTTCCACCTCTCCGTGTAATGTTACGTACTTAATCCGTCGTATCTACAAATTTGGATGCGGTCGAAAAAATTCTGAAAATTTCGATTCCGATCCTTTGGTCCATCGGAGTTTTCGAAGACCCAGTTCACGATAATTTTGGAATACCCTTTTGAAGTTGAAAAGCAGAAGTGTTTATGCGGAACAATGCATCCATGGCGAAGAAGGTCAGAAAATCCGCCTAGTTTGCGACAAACAAGGCTTCTCAAAAGTAGCTAAAATAAAGTTGGTCGTCTCTTGACTACTTACTACTTGAAGACTCTTTGCTTTCCTAGCACTATAGATAATCGACGAGCCAGTTGTATTACTCATCGATATTATCGAATCTTCCCATCCACTCGCAAAGGGAACGAAGTGATCCCATTTACTGGAGAATCGGAGCTTCATTTCCTGAACTTAATNCAGAAAATCCGCCTAGTTTGCGACAAACAAGGCTTCTCAAAAGTAGCTAAAATAAAGTTGGTCGTCTCTTGACTACTTGAAGACTCTTTGCTTTCCTAGCACTATAGATAATCTACGAGCCAGTTGTATTACTCATCGATATTATCGAATCTTCCCATCCACTCGCAAAGGGAACGAAGTGATCCCATTTACTGGAGAATCGGAGCTTCATTTCCTGAACTTAATAGCTCTCTCTCCAGGGACTGAAAAGCAGAACCTAGCTCAGAAGATACAGCATCAGTTAGGCATAACCTCCTATTGAAGACGATGTAGCCTATTTCATTATGGAACTGCCCACCAGATGATTCCCATGTCGATCGCAAAGGAGAGGGCAGGAACTTCGAGTTAACATGGATTGTGGGGGCCACGATACACGATAAACTCGGACAGCCTCTCACCCTGCTTATTCCATTCCATTCTGTGAGTCCCAATGAGGAGCTACTCGGCCATTCTTCTGAGACCAATCTTAGCGTTGAAATCACCGACGATGACCTTGAAAAAAGTATGGCCTTCTCTCCAATTCCATAAAACGCCTCCAGCTCTTATTCATCCGCATGTTCCCAACTGCATACGTCCGATTCAGGTTGTCAAACTATCGATGACCATTGCAAAGTGCATAATGACGAGGATGCCTACGCCGCCGATGCCTCCAGTCCCAGAAACATCACGCAGGAGGTGATGCCTCCTGCATGGGTCAGTTCCTAGTTCGTCGTACCTGATGCTCCTAGCTTGCATCGGCAGGCCTTTCGGATAGGCTAGAAATCAAATCGCGTTCGCTCATTTTTAAAGTTAAGAAGGCCGTTGACAATTAAACTTGGTGTATAGGTGAAATTTGTGTCAGATTTACTACTAACCTATTATGTATAAGAAGAAATTGCGAATTTGATTGTCCATAATTATAGCGAGCGCCATTGGTAATAATGGGCCCTCAATAAATTTGATCATCGGAATTGGGGGTTTGAAAGTTTTTACCGACGCCGAGTTTGACTATATAACACTCGACATGAAAAGTATAAAAGAAATTTCGTCAAGAACAGTGGTGGGGATTTACGATAATCCTTCTCGTACGGGTCGTACGTAAGGAAGGAGCAAATGTAGAGAAATTTGCTATGGCAGGAAAAGAAGTTTTCAAGCGTGTAACCTTCTTAGATGAGCCAAACATGGGGGAATAGCAAGTCTTCCATGTGCGAGAGGAGCTGTAAGGCGTTTTTAGAATGAAATCCAGTCATTTGATCGTTCTCAAAACACATTTGTACAACATTTATAGACTTGTCGCCAATCCTTCACTACTCCTAAATCTGACTTGTTTATTTGTATTCTAGGTGGGAATCTCTGCAAGGCTCGAAGCGCTTCAGTGTTGTCCTCTATTGTGCGCCATACTTTACCCCTATAACGTACACAAAATGCCCAAAAAACCCGAAGGCTTTCAAGATCAAGGTCATGGAAATCTGTTGAGCAGACATGTCGCAGCCCCAATCGACAGACCACACCCCGACTAAATCTCAAAGAAGAAAGAGCGGAAGCGAGCAAAATGAGACCAACGGTGACCAGCTGGCCCAGCTCACGTGTGTTTGAAAGGCCGCACGGTAGGTGGTCATGTTTCTGAGTTTTCCCGAGCACTCCTTCCGAGTTGTTGTGACTTTTTTTGGGTCGTTGAAGAGAATCGCTCGTAATTCATTGTTATGCACCAATCTTTTTCAAAAGCCTTCTTGACATTAGTCTCCATCTCAGTGAAGTCTTCGCTCCAAATCTCGTAGCTACACTCCTCTATGATATTCCTATGTGTCTCCATTGCCAAGCGAGTGGCGAGAAGTCGTTTGCCACTTCCATGGGCGCCACTTAAAAGCATCACCAACGGCTTATCTCGCACCTAAAATAGCAAATTTATCGGTATGCGAGGAAATTTTTTGCTTCGCTGTCAATATATCAAAACTTCGGAATTGATAGGAATCTGTGCACTATAAAGGTTTAGCTGACATGTAACAGTCATTGAACTGTAACTCGAAAAGAAGTACCACACCGTTTCGTCTATCTGCAAGAGCGAATGAAACTTTTGAGGATTCTCTCTCCTCCTTTCTTCCCTTCTAACTCTTTTCCTTTTTCTATTTTTCTTTTTGCTTTTTTTTCTTCTTCTCGCTAGCGTCAATCAGGCGCCGTCGTTAAGTCGGCTGCTTTTTCAGCCATCACCACTATTATCTATAACCTCGACTGCCGCTACTTCGGTTTTGACGAGGCCCAAATTGATCCCGCAAAGTCACTTCTCCTTTGGGTCTCCTCCTGGATGCTGCCTTTGAACTTACAACTCCATTGCCTCCTATATCAGATGATTTTCTGTGCCCTGTCAGCACGTGCCCATGCCATCGTAGCCGCGGCCACGTTCAGCTCGACAGAGGCTATTTGCTTGACAACCCTGACATCCTCGTTTCTGATTCTGGCCTATCGCGTTTAACGACAGGCTCATCCGAGCATCCTCGCCTGCGTGGAGTGATCTCCTTTATAATTTCCACTTGCGCGCAATGGTTGCCCCAGAACAATGTGAGCCTAACCATGCCCCATACACCTTTCCACTGATTGTTTTGGAGCACCATTGATACCAGATGATTTTCGTGGACTCCCTCCAATTCATTCATCTCGAATTTATTCTGGCTTTACAGCGTGGTTCACGCTACCATCAGTAGCCGGATTGCTCACCACATATTGGAAGTTTTGCACTTTTGAATTATTTCCTAGAACAATCTGCGATATGTTTTGAGCTGAGAAAATTGACATCTTTAAGTCAGCTTTCCTGCCTTTTCTGTAGCTTGTCTTTGAGCTACTCTTGAATCTCCGCTATTAGAGCGATGTCGCGATATCAACAACGTAGATGACGGCCTAAAATTCCTTTTGCGATGACAGTCACTGTAAGTAGGGATGCAACGAGCACAGAGCTGGTCCTTGTTGTAACTCTTCCGTGACATGTTCCTTTTCGAGCCAGGAGGGACGCGTATGACCGATTTGGACATACAACACACTTCTTTGTCTGAGCAGATGACGTGTTCTAAAGCGTTTCGTGCTCGAAGAAGGTCGGGAAAGGCTAGCTAGCAGGGTATGTTCTTCTCTCGATTCTTCTCCATATGTCGTCTTGTTATGGAGATGGTCGGGTGCAAGGGGATTGAGCCGTGATCTATAAGTTCGAGAGTGGTTTCCTCGGTCAACTTATCGCTTGTACGTTCCCTCGAGTCAACTTATCGCTCGTGCGGTTTCACCGTGTGAGTGAAGCAAATCCTGCAGTGGTTTGCATACTTGACCGTTACTCCCTGCTTGCAGATGGCACCCCTTTTTGACGATCTAGTCTGATATTTTTTTGTCAGGGTTCAACAATCGAGTGAGCCGATTGATAATGAGCTTTCGGAGCATATTCAATGCCTAACCCATACAGAACCTTCCGCGCCTTCCCAACTTTCACCTTCCCCATTTCTTGATGGATCCAATCCACTATTCATGGTGAGATGGAATCGACCGTCGCCCTTCCCTAGAAAGTGTTTGCACATTACGATAAGATTCTCCTTTTGGGCCGTTTTTTCCACGTACGCTCACCTTTCCAGACTTGCTCAGATTTTCACTGTGCCTCAGCACAGTTGCTGTCCTTCGCTACTTCGATGTTTTTAGTAGCTCGCGCTTTTGTTGGATTTAAAGTGAAGTTCCCTAATTTGAAAGTCGAACTTCTCGTGCGAGATGTCCATTCTTCTTGCTGTTATTTGCCCGGTTATTCTGTTCATCCTTTCCTTTAGGGCGGAGGTGGAGCAGGGGAAGAGGCACAGCTTTTCACAAGGACGATCACGGGCTCATATCCCGGATCGATATTTGCCTAGGCAAACCAAGCCATCCATCCCTTCGGTCGGTTGATTGGTATCAGAAGGAGGATAGAGACACTGTTCAGTACATCGGCTGGCCACCGCAAGTCATTGTATTATTGGCCAGTGCGCATTCATTACGCCACTACAATTCTGCATGGAAAATACATGCGGGGGTAAGACGGGGCCGATCAACGCCTGAAGACTTTATCATTTATCCTTTACTCTTTGCCTCTTGCTACTGTGTTTCCTTCCCTCCTCGGGATTCTCCTAGAATCTCACCGTAGGATGGCTCGTTCAGCGATGAAGACACCTCACCATGTACTACAAAATGAAAATAGTCTAAGTAGTAAAGAAATTCTACTCCTTAAGTTTATGAGCCTCCGAGATTGCTTTCCAGGCTTAGCAACCATGTAATGATGAAGTCAGCACTAGTGAGCCACCGGTTAGCTCTGCACGTCCACAAGAGTCGATATTTCAGTATTCGTGGGTATTCCATTTCATCACTTCTGCTACTGTTGCAAAGCAAAAAAAGCAAGAAGAACAGTTAAGAGCATATTGAAGTAACTAATTTACTGCAGCTGCAAGTGTGATTGATTGCGGAAATAATAGGAGGAAGCATGAGAACATTCATTCTATTTCTATGAACTCATGCGCAGTTATCTAGCTGACCATAGAGATTCGAAATACACATTTCATTCAACTGGCTTTTCGGCACCGTATCATCATTAGCCTTCCCAAAATTACAGGTCTAGTTCAGCTGACTTTGTCCCTTTCACTTTCTTCAGAGCCTGTAGCTCGGAAAATCAGTTAGTCCGATCTTCTTACGGGGTTAGACAGACCGTAGTGCTAGATCGACGATTCAATAATTGGCTTTCGCGTGTGATGAGCAAGCTCATTTCGCTCTCCGACCTCACAACTTGGTGGAACGTGCATGCAGAGGTCGAAAAACGGCTCCGGGCAAGACAATAATTGCAGATGTCGTCCAATCTATCTGCTGCTTGTAAACTATAAACTTTGAACACAAGTCATCCTAACAGGATTGGCAGAATACAAGATGAAGAGGTGTCATAAGAGGAAGCAGGATTTTGGAGAGGGTTCAGTACTAGCGATCAAACCCACACTACCGCAAGACAAAGAAGTATCGCGAGAGTACAGAATGTCGCCATGCATTACGGTCATAGATTTAAAGAAGGCCTTTAAAAGGTAGAGACGAAAGTGGCAATCGGAACACTGAGCAATCAGGATGTTTCCACTCGATATACAATTATGCTTCGTGAGCTCGACAGCAATCTCAAGTCCATATTCTTGCTTTTCTACAAGGACCACAGAACCAATGCACTATGTGCTGGTCCTCAGGAAATTTTGCATTTTCTGGTAAGAGAAGACATGGATGTGGCATTTGACGGCCGCTACTAACATAATCTCCGATTTGTAGACGGCATCAGGGAGGAGGATCGCTTCACGACGAAGCTATTGAAGACGATGCTCATGAGAAACGGGTTGATAGTTTGATGCACCCACTATGTTTAACGGATTAAGTTCCTTCAAATACTTCCGCTACGTATATCTAAGTCAAAACGTCAACATGATGAACAACCTAGCTTCTTGGCTCTTGAGCCAAGCATTAGTATGCAGACGGCCTCAATCATGTGGAGAGGACAATACTCAACTTTTCTCGATACATGCAAGTGCAAAGGGAGAATTCGTAGTGTTGACGTCCGAATGACGTCCGTCCAACAAACGAAGATTAGGATGTCACTGCTATATCTATCGGACCAGAACGATTATTGATCGGATCTTACAAAGTGTCAAATGAACTCCAAGACGGCTGCCAGCGCGATGGTCAGACTTGCTCACAAAAGCTCTGAACGAGCCGTGGAAGTCGCTGATGAACGGAGCGACAGGCAATAGAGGGTGATGCCATAATAGTCTAATATTATATTCAAAAATAGGTTTTTCCTGTAGTTTTCGTAGTTTTCGGTAGGCATCACGCGTGCTCTTAAATTAGCCCGGCGATAGCGACGGACGGACGCACAAACCGACATAGAAACAGGCACGCAAAGTTACCGCTTTATATATAGAGAGATGATTTTGCAAGATTCAGTCAACCAATGACCTCGTTTTTCGAATGACCTATCTCAATCGACTGTTCAGACTTATTTGTTGATCAACGGAGAGTTTTAACCCGTGGCTTTTCATTCTTCATCATAGCCGATCAACACTGGAAGCAATCGCGAAATGTATAGCATTTGCAAGTATCTGAGAAATATGAAATGGAAACATTTCGACCTTACTTCTATGACCTATTTGCGTCTATTCCTTACATTACACAAGCTGAACCTCTAAATGGTAGGTGAAACTACTCGGCTTGGATTAGAATGATATAAACAGCTGGAACGAATATTTGGAAACTTTAGGACAATTTGGAAAATGAATCGCTATTGTTTTCAGCCGGAATTGTTCTGTCATTGAGAGGAAACAAAATCTTGATGTCAAGCTCTCCTGAAATATGGAGCCGCCATGCCTTTCAACTGGAGACAAATTTCCAATTGAAGTAGAGGATTAACGATTCTGTCGTATCAGCAGGTAACTCTTTAGGTTTTCGTGGACCCAATTTTCAATCCGCGTGAAAATGAAGCGGTAAATTCTACCAAAAAGATAACGGAATTTCATTTCAATAACCGTGAATCTGATCTCTTCATGGGAGAGCTTGACTTCCTACTTATCTTATTTCCAAATTGACTGGAGCGTTTCAGCAAAGGTCGAGGGGAAGCAGCAAGTTGCGTCGCATCAATCCGCCAATCATGACACCGATTATTATTTCTACTGCATCAGGAAAGAATCGCATAGATACTTTAACTGTTGCCTAAAAAAAAGGGGCGAGAAGTTGAGTGAGGCACAATTTGCAGCTCTTTCTCATTCATGTGCTCGCAATGCTTGATGGCATCACTTTATCTTTTTCTTTCGTTTCATCATCTCTTTTCTCCCCAACATATGAAGAGCTCTGCAAAAAATGTCAAAAATGGGTCTGATGGAATGAGAATCCTTGTGAGCAACATTATAACTTGTGAGCAAAGTAATATTTCTTGAACATAAATTGAAACGTTCCTAACAACTTCGCCTAAGTTTAGTGTTGATCGAGTTATATGTGTAAGCAGATTGATTGCTTTCATGCAGCATTTGAAACTTGGTGAAGTGAAGACGTTGAAAATTACTTACAGCTTCGTAAGCAAGGCAAATGCTTCGCATCTGATCCACCAACGCTACCATAGGTTCTGGAACCTCCAACAGTTCTGCACGTCCCGCATATGGTAGATATGAGTTCACATTTGCGATCTCATAGACTGATGTCGTCGTGTCCACTACACAAGACGATTCGACACAGAATACCTGTACATTCATCAATTTCACATCCATAAACCAATTCGCTTCTATTTTGCTGAGATTTACGGCACACTTTGCAGAGGCACTTCCAGATCTATCATAGTCAGTGAAAAAGAAGCTATAATCTAAGAGCGGTGAGCTAGTTCAGATGACCCAAGAGGAACAACGAAGATTTGAACTGACAAAGTGAACTGACCTTGAAGTAATGCCGAGACACTTCTTGCGTGAATATATTCCGAACGTGTATGGATATCACATCGTCATTGTACACTATTCTGTAAAATTAAATATTGGAAAAGGTGCCTTTCTGGAAAGAACAAAAATACTTCTATAATGTTTTCCCTGGAGAGATCATATGAATGTATTTTCAACGGCTGGTAAGTTTGTTGAACCACAGGACCACATGCTTACTTTTTTGGAGCTGGCACAGCTGCCACGACTGGGAAAGTCACTATCGTGGGAAGAAATATGGGTTATTATCATGATAGCGTGCCGTTCTACAAAAGCCGTTCAACCGAATGACATGGGTTTCCTCTCGCGACACATCCTAGAAATGACCCTTGATTTTGCGAAACTATGTTAACTTGCAACTCACCACGCACAGGCAACGGGTATTTGGGAGATTCAATATAAAAGTGTACACGTACAGTCTTTAGGAGATACGTTTTAGCGAGGAGAGATGCCCGAATATGTAATCTTGAGGGCACAGCTCCCGATAATTTTAGGTAATCCAGATTATGATGAAAAATGGAAGATAAAATCGAAACTAGGTGAAGAAACTGTGTGCATAGGTGTTTCCAAAGTGAAAAAGGCTTTGAAAACCCTTTAAAAAGGGGCTGAACGAGAATGAAAGTAGCAAAATGAAGAGTGGGGCGTTTGGACGAGCTAAACAGTGTGTTTCACTGCGTGCGTGTGGGTCCTGGTGCGAATAACAGACAGTGGTAAGCAAAAATTCATTCACTTATAAGCATAAAAAANTCAGCTAGGCATCACACGCACAACGTGTTGAGCCAGTCTGTCAATATCACCAACAAACNAAAAAATTTAAAAAGACCCTAGTAATAGCAAAAGTAGCTCACCTTTTTCAGCCTCTAGGAGTAGGAAACTAAATAAGGGATCGTGGCAGCAAGAAGAAAAACAGAGGAAAAAAGAATGGGGAAAAACATCGCCGCATCACTCGGCGTTTAGCTGATTATACGTGGGTCCTAGAACGAATAATAGCAATTTGTATTGTCTCGACACTCGTCTAAAGTGACACCGATCGAGAGGCGGGAAAGCGAACTACGGCAGCAACGGGCTTCCACTATGCCCTAAGCGCCGAGAATGTTGGAGCGAGAGGGTCCCTTCTACCACCCATGGGGGGCGCTGAATATTCCTGAAGGTAGAACGCAGTAACCTTTTTTTATCGTGAACCGTGCCTTTAAGACAGGCCAAGATCGAGTTAGCAGATGTGTAACTGATGACGGCCCACAAAGCCGTTGACACCCTTGCAAAGATTGTAATTATACGGCAAAAGTTCAATCGGAACATAATGGTTTTAATTTGCGGAGGCCATTAAAGATGAGAGGTAAGTGCCGAGAGTCTCACAAGGTTTGCGATTTTTGGGCAAAACTTCGGCCCCGGACGAGCTCGACCCCGTACTTGTGTTTTCAGGGCACCGTGCTTTTTATCTCTTGCTCTACCGAGAACCATCTTGCCCCCTCCTTTTTGATGGCTTATATGTATGTGAGTGCTGATAAGCTATAGCATCAGCTAGGCATCACACGCACAACGTGTTGAGCCAGTCAGTCAATATCACCAACAAACCGCTAATCCCTAGGCTCTATTTGATGTAACCGGTTTTGACGTAATGTTTTATTAACTGCCATTATATCGCTGCAGTACGCGATCCGAAAGGTTGGAGTGGACATGGTTCCTACAATTTCTATCTAGGATTATCTGGTGGCCCTCGAGGGCAAAACAGAGGAAACTGTCGGGACGAAAAACTTATTAGATAGATCATAATATGAGGCCCACTATCGGATTCGTCGATGTCCACTCCCGTCGACCGATGTTGTGCCAGACGAACTTCGAGGTGATACACACGTTCAGCAAAGAACCAGCTGATCGAATGGACGTTTTGTTCCTGCTCTGTTACTCTCCGTCAGTCTTTTTGCTGCTGCGGTCATTTTTTTTCGTTTTTTACCTTCAAAGAGTGAAGAAGTTGACTTATTTTTGCTTTAATAGTATTTTTCGCAAAAGTACGGCTCACTGAGGTTTTTTTTACCGAATCTCCTCCTAGGAGTACTCAATGGAACTCCTGGGGGAAGAACTCTGTGTCTATCAAGGGTTTAGGAAGAACCCTTTCGCAAGCAAGAACGCGACGGCTAGGGCATAGTGAAAGCCCTGTTCCCGGCTCGCGCGGCCTTCCCGCCCCTCGATCGATGTCACGTCAGACGAGTGTCGAGGCGATAGAGATTACAATTACTCGTTCTAGGGCCCACACACAATCAGCTGATCGCCGAGTGATGAGGCGATGTTTTTCTACCGATCTTTTCCCCTCTTTTATTCTTTTTGCTGCTGCCATTCCTTATTTAATTTTCCACCCCAAGAGGCTGGAAGAGCTATTTTTGCTGTTACTAGGGTTGTGTACTTATGCTTATGAGTGAATGAATTTTTGCTTACCGTAATCAGTTATTTGCACCAGGGCCCTCCCGTACACACTGACACACATTGTATAGCTCGTCCAAACGCCCCACTCTTCTTCATTCTTCTGGTCTCGTTCTCATCCAGACCCTTTCTAACAATTTTTCGAAGCCTTTTTTCACTTAAGAAACACCGATCCACGCTGTTCCTTCGCCTTCATCGCACTATTTTCCATCTTATCTTCAATTTTTCCATGGGAAAGGAATTACTCCTTCACCATACAAAGGTGAGAAAGTTGGTGATGAGGATATTATCGTATTAACAGGCTAACAGAACACGACGAAGGGCGCGACGGACACGTGTGAGCACCGTCGAGCACAGAGCTCCACCTGAAAACATCGGAGCAGTTTCTGAGCAAGTCTCGTGAGGTGAGGCGCAGGTCGGAAGAACAGTCTTCCAAGCGGAAAATTTTATCGTAAGAAGGGCAGTCAGGTAGAGAAGACGGGCCATATCGTGCTATGGACAGAGAATCGAGTTCGTCCAGCAATAGGAACGATTGAGGTGGAGAGTTCGGAGAGCGCGGAAGCAAGTGGCTCACCCGATTCTTGAATACTAATACTGGAGCTGCTGATGGTAGCGAAGAGCAGGCTGTAGAAGCCTAATGATCGCTGCATGGACGAAGTGGAGGGAGCCCATGGGTTTTTGTACCGAATGTGCTGCAGAACACTCGAAAAAACTTTAAAAAGCAGTTGTTGAGTCCAAGTTGTTTTACGCCAGTAGGTGCTGATCCATCAGTATGTCTCATCAAAAGCAGATCTGCTTCTGAAAGAGTATGTTCCTATAGGCCTGCCGATATGGGACACGAATGGACAGAGTCATAACTGAAGACGTCAGGGCGGCCATGCAAACAACTTCTATCCGACTAAAGCGAGAGAGCAGTGCGACGGTGCGGACATGTAATGAAAATTTCACGGAATCACTCGCTGAAGTGCCCGATGAATTTCGGAGTTAAAGGAAGGCTAGCCAACACAAGGATCTCCAAAGAAGAGGTGGCAAAACGTGTTCACGGACCTCGTGTGGTGACAGAAGATGCCGGAGAGAAACGGAAGTGAAGGCCGCTAAGAAGAACAGCCGATCCCAAGGCAGCGCGGAATCCTTGCTAAGGAGAAGTAGAAAAAAAGAATAAAAAGAAGGCGAAAAAAAGGCGAAAGGGGAAAAAAGAGGAAGGAAGGAATAAGAAGGAAAAAGGCAGAATTTTGATCAACTCTCATGTATCATGTTCATCCTTAGAACGGTTGTTCCTTATATGGATGACTGTGCGGAACCAGCATGTGCAAAGTAAAAAATTGTGAACAGCGTAGTTCCTTCTCATATTTTTTGATAGCTTCATCAAAGTGAGCTTTTTACTCGCATCATTCCCAGGCGATTTCTCTTCCTTTTTCAGTAGAAAACAGCAGACGACCCGAGAAACAAAACAGCTTACCTCCTGTCTCATGTAAGTGCGATGACCGTAAGTGTTAGCCTAGACATGGCGCCAAGTCGGAAAAATACCAGATGGTGTTATACATGAAACTTTTTGGTGCAGAAACTAGAGAAACTAGAGGTGGAAAGCAAGCCAACATTATCCGCCTAATGAGGGAGAGCTTTACCTCTGCGCCACAGATGCGCTTGTTGGGGTGCGAACTACTGCCTATTAAATCTGCCACTTTGGCAAGGAAGCAAGGAGATTTTGAGGGCTCCTCACTTTTTTGGCGAACTCATCGAGCAGATTTGACTTCTATATTGGTCAAACACTCAAAACTTGATCGATACACCGAGGTTTGCTTTGAAGTTTCAGAAGAAGTTGAAATATTCCCCTTGTCGAACCCCTCGTAAGCCCTTATCAACCGCTACCACTACATGCTGCCAACCTCCTGCCGTCCGACTTCGAATGAAACGACTAAGTGTTAAGGTATTGGAAGAAAGGCTTAACACATCGCCTGGTTACTGAATGTGGCCCTCATCCCACTCGCCATCGTCAATCAACGGTTCCTTGCACCCAACCTCTCACCAAAAAGTAGAAACTCCACTGTTATAAGAATAGAAATAATATATTTCTGCCTTCTGCTATTTTTGTTTTGACTTGAATTTTGTTAACTGCTCTTATGTTACCGCAGTACGCAATGCGAAGGTCTCACAAGTTAGGCGACTCTGAGGACAAAGCTTCGACCCCGGACGGAAATCGAAGGTTTCGCTTACAAATTTGTAATCCTTAAATAATTTTCTTCCCTCCCTCGAAATTCAAAAAACAATTGGTTTAAATGCTGAACGCTCTCTCATGCGCTCCTCCCTTCCGCGAAGCAAGACGACTGTTAGATTTTGGGAGCTGTGTACTCGTCACATGCCAACTGCCTGAGGAGGATCATGTAAGGGATAAGGAAAGGTCACGCTGCATCACAATAAAAAAACATTCCGATGGGTTAGAAAAGCCTGGGAAGATCACCCTTTTGGATGGTCACAGGTTACAGCACCATGGTAATGAAGGTGTGACGTGAAGACTACAATACTGCTACAATACTGTTCGTAAAGATGATATCTCAGTGCGCAAGACTCTGGAGACAGTTTGGATAGCAGCGAAAAATCCCAAAATCAAATAGGAAGCACGAATGCGATGCAGTCAGAACGACATTCGTGAATAAATTCATTCACTGTCTCGAAGGCCACGTTAACAATAGATATTCGATTCTCTTGTTGTTGTCTTTACTTTTGATGACGTTTTAATTAACAATTTTCAGTCAAGTGCGACTGAAGTACGGAATAAATTAATTAGTACTGCTTTCTGAATTGCCAGAACCCCGGTCTTTTAACTTTGCGGTCAAGCTAAAACAAGTAGACTTCATTCAAAATCAGTCAGTGGCCCTGAAAAGGCGGGTGCAAATGTTTGACGCTCCAAAAGAGTGCCTAATTTTGCTCAAAGATATTGATCAGAGATAGGGGTGGCAAGTCCTAACATTTATACTGTAGTGTCCTGGCCTGAAGCTAATGCACAATCAGTGCTGTCATGCGAGGCCGTGAATGAAGACTGTATCGAACGCTCGAAAATGCGTAGAACAGATGGGCTAGCAGTGGGACGGGACATTTGCTCGTTTGTAGGTGCACCCGCTACCGCCGGCCAAATGAAGTTGCAAATGAAACAGCTCTGGTGCCTATCACTGGGTTTGTAGTATATTACTAGTAGTAGATTAGTAGCTGATCCTACTAATCTATGATATCCTACTTCAAAAATGTCCCCCCAATCATAGGCATCAGAGTCGTTCAAATTCTCACGATTTATTTGGCGCGTGCGCCTCCAGAAGGGCGAATGTACCCGTACCCGCTGTAGCACTGGTAGGTGAGCAAATGGAAAAAGTTGAAATGAGAGGTTACGATGTCTCATTCACGCTCAGCACACGAAGTTCAAACATTAAAGGTACAGATCACGACAATTCTGGCTGTGGTTTCAATCGATCATTTGAATTGATAACCCAGATTAAAGCCGGATAAAGCGTAAAAAAGGCCTTTATAGAGAAATATAGGCTCAACAAAAGTAGTAGAATTTGGACTCGGACGAGAATATTATGATAGAAGCCGCATGGAAGGGGTATCTGGACGTACTATTCAAATGTTTTGCGCCATTGCATACAGCTGGATGCAAGCTGCTGCGTGCAAGGTGTGAGGCGGCAAAAAACAGCGAAATAGGTGCGAATGGGCAACTTCTATAGTTTTTACAACACTAAAGCACTCGTCCGCCTCTTGCGTGTAAGTCGGCTATGCCGATGCCCTCATTACCCCGTATCTCGGCCGTTTTTCGACCGGAATCACTCCTAGGCTATTATTGGGCTATTATTGGGGTTCACAGGTTCATAAAAGCAAAAAATCAAAAAAACCATTCTCATCGTGGACTGGAACTTCACCTTCAAGGCGGATGGCACAGGTATAACTCGGACTTACGGAAAAGGCAGCTGCTTGCGAATAGATATTATTATTGTGTCACATGCGGAATTAGGTCACGAGAGATGTGATTAAACTGAGTTTGTAATAAATTAGTAGGCGCATATTGAGGAAATTAGAATCGTTCAAGAGCACCGTCGAGTCTGTAATTTGTAAAACAATTTTGGAAAGGAGTGGAAATATATTTTTACTGAGACAGGGAATGGTGAGTGAGCAAGAACAGTTTCGAGTTAAGAAAGGACCTTCAAACAAGGAGCAGAGAAGCTCGAGTGTGCGCGAAAAAAGTTGAAACACCATTCGAAAACCTATCGAAGAATGGAAGCAGACCTTGTGTGTACAGCTCATAGGAGAACAAGGAGGGATTTTAGTCGAAAGCGGCAGCAGTTCGTTGAAGAGGGCGAACTGGTGCAGCTCTCGTACTGAAGTTTCCTTTTGGTAGGCAGGGATAACAGTACTCGGTAAAGAGGTAGGTTCCCTGACACATGAACTGGCACGAATGATCCTTCAACAGCCAAAAACTGATCCACAGGTTACGATGCTAGTTTGAGTTCACACATATTATGAGCTGTCTTCAGAACCTTCGGAACTGCTGAACACTTGTTGTTGGTTCCTTCAGCGGTACGACCCCCCCGAAAATGAAGGAGGAACCTGTACGGATTCGAGTGAAAAAACATGAAATAAAGAATTTACGCACTAACCGAGGAGTTTTCAATAGTTTTTCCATTTCTGCTTCTAAATCAATCGTCTCCTTTTCCTCATATTCATCCTCTATGTATTGTTTGATGGGAGCCAGTTTGACGCTGTCAGTAGACGTAAGAGTTTGGCATATTTTAGGTAGCGAGCTGTACGGGACTATACTCTGGAAAACATTTAGAGTGAAGACAAAGGTCTTGTTGAAAGAAACCAAAGGAGAAATTTCGTCTATTGCAACTAAGAACTAAGTGACTCATCTTATGAATGACAAAAAGATAGCACTAGGGTGAAAAAGAAAAAGAAGTATGTTGATATGGTATACTAAGACATTCTTGATTGACACTTCGATTTCTTTATCGCTATTCCGTATTCCTTATTATTCAGATGTGAAAACTAACCTACATCAACGACAAAGTTGGCAGCTGGAATTCGACCAAACATGTTGAACATATCCATTTTCTCCATATGTACAGAATTCTCTTGAACAGCGCATGACATGAGAAGACGGAAAAACCGCGAACTTTGGTTCGAGCCCTGTTAAAAGAGCCTTTTCTTCTCATGGAAAGCGAGGTCCACTGGGTTAGGTTTAAGCTCATCCTTAACAGGAGCTCGTGTCCAACCCCCTCCGCCTCATGAATGCCTCATGATCTCTCTAGGCAATGAGACTCTAGTGCTATGTTTCGCTGCTGCGCTTCATCTCCTGTTAGGCCATACTGTAGCCCCTAACTACAGAGGAGATTCTCACTCCTGCGAGTATTTCACAGTCTCTTCTGATATGACAATGGCTAATTGTCAGTGAAGAAGCGATCCCTGTAGAATCAAAAAGTAGCAACACTCTTTACCTGCCCTGTTTGAAAGGTGACGGTAATACAGACAACCTGACCATGAATCAAGCCTCGGTTCAAGCAAGTAAGTGGATGAATGACAACAAACCTAAAATGGATGGGAGGGAGAATTTCTCAACAGAAAAAAGTAAAATGGTAAACCAAGAAATGGTGATCGTTCCAGTGAGTAGTCGTCGTCTTCGAATTTTATGAACAGCGGAATTGTATAAAATTGCGATTCTGCCATTCACAACTTACCCGAGCTCTTCAGATTCATATCGAGTCACCGAGATAAGACATCTCCGCCAAACAAGGTGGCGAATTGCACGTGGTCCCAATTTGCAGAGAAGTAGTCGGAACAGATAGCCCGTTACAGGGCGACGAACCATGCAGATCTGAAGTAAATCGAAACTATCTGGCTAATCCTAAATGCTCGAAACTTTTGTTCCTGAATTTGTGGAAACCTTGCATCTCTATAGATGAGCTCAAATATAGCATTTATTCAGCTGAAAGACTTCCTTTATTAGCAAGTGACAACGACATATTTTTACATCGTTTCAAGTGAAAATGGGATCGGCTGTGCAAAGTAGCAAATCTGTCGGGAAATACATAAGGAAACATCGGTGGAACGGGACGGGACAGAACAAAGTGCACAACGTATCAGTCGATAACGCGCACAACTCACCACAAGGACGTCTTGATAAGGTAGTCAACAAAACAGGAACAGATGAAACGAGTACGCTGGACCAGGCGCGTGCGCCTCATAGAGGAAATCGTTGGGCAGCTTGCTTGTTCTACGAGCTCTTCGTTTCTCGATAACCGAGCTGACAATGCTAGAGTTATGTGAGCAATTGCAGTGACAGGTCAAAAATTCAACAGAGCAAACCCTACTGCTTTCGATTTTTCTGAGAAAGCCGCTCAAGCGCTCTATACTTTTTGCCTATGTGAGTCTCCAATTTTTTAGTGAACGTAATTTTTTTGGTGAACCCAACTATATAAAACAGGTGTTTAACTTAGGAGTTTGCAGATCCAATGAAATATAAAGATATTACGGTCATATGGAGGGTGAACTCGCTGCGATATACCAAGACCTAGATGGTAGAAAGCTTGGAGGCTTTCCCAAGTAGAGACTAGGAGTGTACTGGGAGAGTTGACTTCCTGTAACGAGATGTGAGATTCCTACTCCAACGGAGAGCTTCCAAGACAGTCACTGTGGCCCCAACAGAAACGAAGTCTGCCCGTATGTCACTGCTGTGAAGAGGCTAAGTGGTTGAATCGGGATTGTAGGATTGAACACGCCTACAATCAAACATGAGGACAGAATAGACCGCCTACGGAAAGCACGCATGTCGATAGGGTCATGTCAGTGATAGCCAAGCAACACTAGATGAGCAGAGTGGCTACTCCGGCAGCGGCAGATTCCTTTAGAACTGCTGGGGAGACATGATCTCATTAATTACGTGAGCGTCATACTCATGATTCATCAAGTTAGTGATCGAGAGAGAACTGACAAGAAAGGAGTTCCTTCTAGCAGTCATTGCAATGAATCTTCTCAAGAACGCAAAAGCAAAAATCATGTGGAATGTAAGGTGGGGGTAGGAACACCAATCAGGGAAGGGAGACTTTGAGCAAGATGTGATACTCTATAAGAGGCAAGAAAAACACTGAAAGCATCAGGTGAGACCTGAGGTGCCTATTGAGAGAAGAACTAAGTCCATAGAACAGAAAGAAAATTTCTTTGTTTCATGAAGTCTTTTAATGTCCCATTTCAAGACTTTTTCGCCTTCTCATAATAGGGACCCCAGGCCTCACCAGCTACTTTTAGCGTTTCTCTTGCCCTCTACAAGATGAAAAATGTAGTAGAGATCTTCAACTGCAGGTGGGTTATAACAGATGTATATGTTACTCCGCTAACAGTGATCAACCTACACTGCTTGATATCGATTTGTGTGGTGTGATTGACCATACTGGGCTGTTTAGGAAGTTTTTGGGAACGCTTTTTTTAAAGGCTTGTTTCAAAAAAATTTTCAAGTTGTGAACGCTTTTTATTGGGACCATAATACAGGTATATATTTGTACACTTCTCAAGGGACACAAACATATTCCATTCCCATTTGTAATTTCAGGATCAGTTCGAACATAGAGTGTCAGGTGGAGCACTTTTGGCACACTTTACTTTTTCACTTCTAAATTGACTAGAAAACTGCTACGTTTTCCTCGATATTGGTAAAACATAAAATTACAATGCTTTATTACAGAGCACGTGTGAGCAATGTTTCACAACTCTCCGTTCTAACAATTTTTCATAGGCTGACCATTAGGCAGGGATGACGATCTTTTGATGACATTGCCGAAGCCGATCTCCATGCAACCCATGCAGCAACTTTCTGATAGATCCATGCATCCATGCATCTATGGGAATCGTTGATGACCAGAATATCAAAAAACGTGGGCTAATAAAAAAGATAAATGTTAAGTGCTACTTGAGTTCAGGGAGATACGCTTGGGCGAGTTGGTGTCTGCAATTTGCGATTCAGACACAAAGAAGACCACCCATTCATGGAGCGAATAGTGGCAGTAGATAAAAGTTGGAATGTATGGTATAATTTTGCTTGTACGCTATCATGGTTAATACCGAATGAAACTGCTCGGAACAGGTCCAGACTGATATTCATCAAAAAAAAGTAGTGCTACCATCCTTGTGTAATGGTAAAGCGTGGAACATAGTTTGAAGTACTTTCGAGGAACCAGACTCTGTCACCTTGGACCTTTGCCTATTAGAATTTATCAGAATTTGATAAGCAGCTGAAAAAGCAAGCTGGTGAGTAGCAAAGAAGTGAGTTATATATACTATATCTAGGCTGCATTAATCCCATACATTCCTGATGACTCGGCAGACATTATCGAAGCCTGGTTGAGAGGGGATGCTGCATTAACCTTATCATCGTAATCTCGCGTCTTCTGAATGCCACTTATTCCGGTCGTTACAGATTTCTTTAATTAAAAAACCTTCCCAGAAGATAAGGATATCAAGTCTTATGTGGTCCATTCCTTTACCCAAAAAAAGCGGAGGTTCTATGAGGGAGTGTCTATGAAATTGCCAGAAGGATGGCGAAAGATATTTGAAGAAATAGGAGTGTACATCCTTGACTATAGCTGGTTCGAGAAGGGAAAAAATTTCTCGTGAAATTTTCAACAATCATAATTTCTTTCCAAACAAACTACAAGTTTAGCTTTCCTCTGTCGTATAGCATTTCAACTGGTAGGAATCACCTGTATCACCTGTACTCCCGTTGATCGTCGATTTCCTCGAGCGGGCGCCAGTAACGTCTCCATTCGTCCCTGTCGCGAGCCAGAGTAGTCCAGTGAATCGCACTCGCTCGAGGGACACGGGGCAATACATTCCTTTCGTTCAGAGCTTTCGTGAAGAAGTCTGACCATCTCGTTGGCGGCCGTCCTGGTGTTCGCTTGACATCCCGAGGGATCCAGTCCGTAACCGCCCTGGTCCAACGGTCATCATTATATCGCATAACGTGTCCGGCCCACCTGATCTTCGATCTCTTGGCGTAATCAACGGCATCCCTGATCTTCGTTCGTCGACGGAGCTCGGAACTCCGGATTCCCTTCTGCACTTGCGTGTATAG